AATGTCTATAAAACGCACAACTATTTTAATATATTGTATATTAAATCTCAGTTGTAATGTGAATAAATTGAAAACACAATTACAATAACAGTTGCATTCCATGCAATGGTATTACATTACATTACATAACATATAAATGGAAAACATTTTCTTTCGCTAAAACCCAAAACTACACTAAAATTTAAATTGAAATTCTGTGACAAACAAAAACAAGAGACACTAAATACAAACCAAATTCACTAAACTATAAGCATTATAAACTTTAATTTGATACACTTTATCCCATATAATACTGTATAAGTTTGTCATAAAATTTCTTTTCCCACAACTAGTTATCGATTAGTGTCCAGAAGAAGGTGTTGTGGGTTTGGGTTACCATTCCCTGCGAGAAAGGGATCGGTTCCTGCAGTTACGACGATGTCTGTCAAATAGTCACCAAATTTAAGTGTCCACAAGCGTTCAAGAAGTACGGCATCCCCTGCCAGTGTCCCTTAACGAAAGGTATGGCATAGGCAACTACTGGTGCCCCATAAATCTAAATACTGATAGCTATGACAGCAAATTCTTGATGCACTCAACCATTAATATTATGCTTAAAAATTTATTGCCTCCGACTCTGAGCTCCGACCCGCACGAGAGTATAGACAGTAATTTTGAGCGCAAATCAAAATAATAGCATTCAATACCTCGAGATTTATAGGGCTATCAAAACATATCTGAATATTTGAATCGCTTTTTATGATCAATGATTGTAAGCACTGGTAATCAATCTCTCAATAGGCTGTCATATTCTCGGGTAATATTGATAGATATGATTATACTTTGGATGAATAGCTCCCTATTTTGAGTAATAAGAGTGCAGTTCTTTAGGCAAATAAATCATTAGTTCGGCCAAAACATAGCACCAAATGATGTATTTTTGCACCACTTTATTAACTGTTGATTTAAAAGTATACACAATATTTCAATGATTTAAAAGAATACAGAATATCTTAATATTTGTTATGAAAATGCCAATTGTGGTAATCAGTTTTAATTAATATATAACAGGTATCTACGGTTTGCCATCGAGTGTTGTGGTAGATATAGACAAATCGATACTTCCCTCGTGGCTCGAGTCTGGCTCTTATAAAGCGAGGGCTAAGTTAACCGACAGCACATCCAACCAAATACTATGCATTGATGTCTCGCTATCCGTCAAAGCAAAGGCTACACACTCTAAACAGTGCCTCAATTTTGTCTGAATTGTCATTTGGATTGCATTATGAATGACAGACACAGACCTCGCTATTAATAATTCATTAAATTTCTGTAATTCTCTGTTTAGTAAGCATATCATCAATATTAATACAGTATGTGAAAAATTAATTTAATATTGAAACATAATGAATTCAGATTTGTTATAATTTAATTTCTAATATATAATTAATTGTATCATTATAATTTTCATTAAATTCATTTATAAATTTAACAAAAGTGTGATGATTATTATTTTTATTTATAAATGTGTGCGAAATTGAAAAACAATTTTTAGGTGACAACACGACAAATGATGATTTATAATGACATCCTTCCGAGAGTGAAGTCATTTGTCGCTATAATAGACACTTATTTTTGCTAATCATTTAAAGGGTACAAAAGGTGTTGAAAATCACGAAATAATTATACATATATCATATCATATCATATGATATGACTGGAAATAATGAACAGAAAAATATGAGACAAAACCAATCAATAAAAGACAAGCGAATCGCCAGAAAAATACATACTTTTCTAGTTTGGGAATGAATTGAATATTACGGACGCGTTTGCGCCGATTGTCAACAGTTTGTTTATATCATACCATTTCATAGCCAACCGATCGCTACCGTATTTATAGCTAATATTTTATTAACGATACGCTAAATAGCGAATCGATTAAATAGTCATTGATCGTAATTATTCCGCAATCGTGTGATTCAATAGTGGAGAAAGTGGTGCAAGAATTTCATGAAACAAATAGGAAAAGAGTGAATACTATGAGAGCGGAGAGTAAGGGATGGGTAGAGAAGAGCGAAGATATAGTGAGAAGA